CCAGCCGGGCTGTACTGGGTCTCTCAGTCGCTACTGCCTCTGACCAAGCTGTACTGGTTGTCTCTGACTGCTCCTCAGTCTCTACTGTCTCTGACTGGGCTGTACTGGATTTTCCCAGACAGGCAAAGCAACAGGGATTTAGACTAGCACCCAGAGAGGCACAGGGAGAATCCGACAGGGACAGACAGGTTAACACTCGACTCCACACTCTCTCTCTCTCCCTCCCCCAAACCCGCCCGCCCTCTTTGTTTGAATTCCTGCTCCTGTGTAATCCCCTGGCATTTCCTCATACTGTTTGTTGTTACAGCCTCACACCACTTTTCCTTATAGGGAAGAACACATCCCCTGTGGGGCCGGGGAGAGGGAGAGAGACCGTCCGTTCCTCGGCGCTCCCGGACAGCTACTGGGCCCCCAGCTGCGCTCCCGAGCCAGCGCTGCTACTGTTCACCTCGCGCCGATCAATCACATCAATCAATTGGTCAGTCAGTCAATCAGATCGACATTCAGAGGCGTGACGAACCCCATCAGGCCTCCTCGGGCCCTGTGAAGCCCAGCTTCGACAGTTCCCCAGGTCCCTGCTCGACTCAAAGCCGGATTTGCCTTCCCTTAGAAATCCCGACTCCCAATGTCTGCAGTTAATTACGTCCGAGAAATGATAACAACATTCGCATTCCAAAAGCCCGGCCTCTCAGAATCCCGGGCTGGGAACAGATAAATTGCTGGCTCTCAGCGGCCGGAGCCCTCGAAAGGATTACTGACTCTTCCTAGTTCACCCCCTCGCCATATCACGCTCAACAGCGCGATGGTCGCTTGTACAGGGAAGGCAGGGTTTTCCTGACCAGCAAGCAGGGACGGGGATAAAGGGAAACAGCTGAGCGAGAAAGGGCGAGAAAAATCACTAAGAGAACAATCCGAACGAGAGGCAGGAGGGAGGGAGGGGGAACAGAGAAAGGCTGGCAGGGACGCGAGTGAGAGAGGCGGCCGTGCTGCAATATCAGGGTGACACAGCGACTCTGGAACCAGAAACATTGCCTAAAAAGGGCAGATAAGCGCAGGAGGCTGGCTGGAGGAGAGGCTTCTTTCCCTGCCCTGCCTCTTTCTCACTTTCTCCTTCTTCCTCTCCGTGTAAATCACCAGAAGTGGCACATCCAGCGAGGACACGCGCCTCTCATGCCCTGAACCTCAGGCCTGCTTTCCCGGGCCTACGGACCCTCAGCATTAAAACTGTACAACTCACTAGGAAGGCCTCCTTTACAATAGTGTGTGCAGTTTGGGTCACCATGTAATAGACCAGATACAGCAGGTCTGGATTCAGTCTAGTGAAGAGACACCCTCATACATTCCAGGGCTTAAAAGGATACCATATACCGCCAGGCTAAGAGAACTGAGCTTTTTTGTCTCAGACAGAAATTACACAATGGGACCTGATCCAAGTTTTCACAATTCTCAAAGGCGTCAACAAAGTCAACCCAGCAGACGTCTTGAGCCGCAGGACACAAGCACAGACAATGCAGGGGTACATTTAAAACCAAGAACCGCCGCTGTTCCTACACAAAGGGTTGTGGGAGTCTGGAACAAGTGATTTCTTTCAAGAAACAGCGTAATGGGATCCTTTGCTTAGCTACTACTTAGATACTAACAAGCCAACTTTGATTGGCTGGGCTGAATGTCCTTCTCTCCTTTGTAACTGTTCTGCTGTTACAGGGAGCCACAAAGGGCAGACAAACAGACATTTGCAGATCCTGGTAATGTGTTACAACATAAGCAGAAATTCAGCTGGAGTCAAAACCAGTTGTCTCTGAGAACAGAGGTCCAGGGTGATCCACTCACATCCACACTCATTGCAGTGAAGGATATTGGTACAGTAGCTCACAACACTGTGCATTAAACGGATAACTTGTTCAGTCCAAAAACAGTGCAGGAGCAGGATACTGCACAGGTATCCGCTCAGGTACGGATCTGAACTGGGACACTCCCTGTGGCTCCTTCCTGTCCCACCTCTGATCCCCACCCCCTTACCATTCCAGGTGAGAACGAGTTTTTCGGGAAAGGCTAGGATCTCTGCTTCCTCCTTCAGCTCCGGACTCTGGTAGGACACCAGGAATGGCACCGATTCCCACACCTGGATGGAGATGGAGCCGGAAAGGGAGAGAAGAACAACGAGGGAGAGTGCAGTTTAGCACGTTGGCCATAGTTCAGTGCACTGCAGGACTCTTATTCACTGCAGCACGTATGGTGCTGTATTTAGCACTGCAGTGTAAGCAAAACTGTCTTTAGCACTTGCAGTGTGTATAACAATGCATTCAGTATGTACGGGTACTGTATTCAGTAATCGTGCAGTGCACAGTAAAGTCTTTAGCACTTGCAGTGTGTATAACAATGCATTCAGAATGTACGGTACTGTATTCAGTAATCTTGCAGTGTACAGTAATGTATTTAGCACTTGCAGTGTGTATAACAATATATTTAACAATGTATGTAGGGTACTGTAACAGTACTCCTGCAGTGTGTACAGTAATGTATTTATCGCTTATGGTCTGAATTGCTGTATTAAGTATGTACTGTATTCAATATTCCTGCAGTGTGTTCCATCGTGTATTTAGCACTAGTGTGTGCAGTACTATATTCAGCACTGTAGTGTATAAAGTAATGTATTTAGCACTACAGTGTGTGGAGTACTGTATTTTAGCACTTGCAGTGTCCAGTAGAGAGTGTGGTGAGTGGACAGTACAGTGTGTCTTTATTTCAGCCCAGAGTGTGGCAGTGGACAGTACAGTTCAGAGTCAGGACAGTTTACAGTCCAGAAACCCAGGTGATGAGGTCTGTACCTTGGCAGCACAACGTGGTAGCAGATAGGACAGTGTTTTTGAAGTCCAGTAGAGAGTGTGGTGAGTGGACAGGACAGTCACTGACACAGTCCAGTCCAGAGTGTGGCAGTACACAGTACAGTTCAAAGTCAGGACAGTTTAGAGTCCAGAAGCCCAGGTGGTGAGGTCTGTACCTTGGCAGCGTTGACCAGCCTCCAGGCATTAAGCAGTCCGAAGCCATGCTGGTGACTGTGGTGCAGCCCTGCGCCATTGGTCTTCCAACCCGCTCGCTTGTCCTCGTACTGACACACACAAAGACACGTCAGCGGTGTCAGACTTGACACAACATCACCTCAGGGTTTAAACCTGGAGACAGGATTCATTTCACGACTGGAATTAATTTCTCTAGAGATACGAGTCCGTTTTCAGTTTGGGTCAATTCTACTGCGAATTTGGAGGTATTCTTTGCTCATTCATGACATTCAAACACATGGGGCAGTACTGAGAGAGAGGCTCACTGTTCCTCGGGCTGTGACAGGAGATCAGGTACTGGGCTGCCAGTTCCCTCCTCCCTCTCCCAGTAGGAATGGGAGTTGTTGTGATCCTGGCAGGTGTGGGATTGCTGAGATTAGATTTGTAAATCTGGGGAAGAATGTTTCTCCAATCCCAGAACAGAGGGCACAGTGCAGGAGGAGGTGCACCTCTGTCTCTATTTCTCCCCACTGTCACTCACTCTCCCCACCCGCTCTCCCTGTCCCCCACAGCTGCTCACCTTGGTGGCGGTGTACACAATGATGTGCTGTACGTCCCTCCAGGTCAGACAGGGTCGGACCTGCAGCATCAGAGCCACCATGCCAGCGGCCAGGGGCGCGGCCGCCGAGGTGCCCGTGTGCCCGTCTGTGCAGCCCGTGCCCTTCTGGAACTCCCAGTCCGACGTCACCTGGGCACACGGAGCTGGATTAATCACACGCAGTGAGGAGGCCTGCTGTCTACACACACACAGGGTCTACGCACTGAGAGACGGGAGCCCCATCCTCTACGCACTGATGCATATATGAGGTATTTAGTTGAGGATGCACTTACACAACTCTCTTTTTTTTGTACTATTTACACTTTTCTTCTTCCGGCTGCTTTTCCCCCTGAAACAGCCTGGAGCTTCAGCCGGGCAGGGCGGGCCCAGGGGACGCCTGAAGGACCCAGACGGGCAGCGCGAGGACAGAGGCACGCTCCCACGCCACGCACGCTGACATCACCCGGCAACACCGCGTCGCCATGGAGACCGCGAGCAAACAGCGGCCAACCGCAGGACCGCGCTTGCGGCTTCTTTCCCAGTTTCCTTACTCCTCGCCCCCCACCCCCACCCGTTCCGGTCAGGATTCCTGAGCTCTCTTGCTCGGGTCTCGGAGCCCACAAGACTGACGGCCCTGGCTCGCCTGTACAGTGTGGCTGCCGAGCTCGATCAGGGGCGGTAAGGCACCTGCCCAGGCTGAACATGGATTCAAGACACAATTCAAGCACAAAACCTTTTGTTAGCTTAAACCGCTGCCTTAAAAAAAAAATCTGAAAAACAGGGACGCTTACCCTCGCCGCTAATAGCATATAAATAGCAAACCTGTCATTTTTTATTACACCATGAACACGCTGACAATAGCCAACTGGGGTTCCCATTAAATAGCTGAACTGTGTTCGAATGTTATCAACTCAACGTCTCAAGAGCCGCTAAAAAAACAACACAGCGACGACGCAGATGACCATTATAGTCCACATCCTCGAAATGTAAACTCTTAACGACCCATGATGTCATCGGCACACAATAGCCCAAGCTCTTCCTGTTTTCTTAAGGTGTTGCTCTGGAAGGGTTCAAAGGACGCACCGCAGGGCCACAACACATCCCCCATTCTGCATAAGGTACATGTGACTAGGCATCTTTTAAAGACACAGGCATCTGTCCTGAAAACAGTAGACTGGACAGTAGAGTAGAGGCATCTCTCTGTGTCGGCAATGTCTCAGCGCTTCAGCCATGTCTCCCTGTGCCCGCGTCTCAGTGCGTCAGTGATGTCTCAGCGCGTCAGTGTGTCAGTGATGTCTCTCTGTGTCACAGCGCGTCAGTGTGTCAGCCATGTCTCTCTGTGTCACAGCGCGTCAGTGTGTCAGCCATGTCTCTCTGTGTCTCAGCACATCAGTGCGTCAGTGATGTCTCAGCGCGTCAGTGTGTCAGCCATGTCTCTCTGTGTCTCAGCGCGTCACTGTGTCAGCCATGTCTCTCTGTGTCAGTGAAGTCCGCCTGCGCCGCTGCCCAGCGTGTAAATGAGCACTATACGCCCACACTCACGATACTGCGCAGCTGTCTGTCTCCACTGCTGAAGGTGACGGCCAGCATGGAGGCGCACTCCTCCGCGTAGAAGGGCATCCTCCCGTTCTCATCCACCGCCCCTGCAACACACACAGCTCAGGACAGAGCGCCACACAGCGGCTTCCTGCAGGGCGGCGACAGGCCGCCTCACAGGTCCACTGTGGGCAACTCCGCCAGGCAGGCACCTGCTGAAGACTGCTGGCACAACTGCCTGAGGGGGGCTGTCGGAGGGGTAATATCAGCTGGGGGCAGTCAGAGGAGGGGGTAAAATCAGGTGGGGGCTGTTAGAGCTGGGGGTAAAATCAGGTGGGGGCTGTTAGAGGAGGGGATAAATTCAGGCGGGGGCTGTTAGAGGAGGGGATAAATTCAGGCGGGGGCTGTTAGAGGAGGGGATAAATTCAGGCGGGGGCTGTTAGAGGAGAGGGTAACCGCTGGCCAGCCGGGCGCAGAGGACTCACCGATGGTCACGGTGTAGATGGAGTTGGCGTAGCCGTCGTAGTTGCAGTTGTCCTGGAACTGCCCCCCGTTGCCGCTGGCGACCACGAAGATGCTGCCGAAGCCCCGCCTCCCAGCGATCACCCCGTGCTGCAGCGCCGCCTGCAGGACAGGAGGAGAACTGACGCCCACTGACCATCACGTATCGCACCGCTTGCAGTCGGCATCCGGGAAACCTCACAGACAAGGACCAGGGCCCCTAAGAAGATCCAGCCCGAGCCAGGATCGGCGAGGCCAGCCCTGGCAAAGGGAGACGGACGGCGAGGTGTCCCGAGGTGCCGCTCCGTCCCCCTCTGGGCCAGAAACTGCAAAAGCAGGGGCTCAAAGCTTTTACCCCCGTAGCCGGTGGTAAAGAAGGTGACGCTGACCTGACCTGAAAATAACCATCCCAAGCGATCTGTTCAAGCGAAGGAGTATTAACCTCAGGGTTCGCTCCAGATCCAGACCCAGAACATACAGTAATATCTGGCCTGGCTACGACCTCACTGCCTTGACTAGAGCAAATTTTCTTTTATTAACCGGCTGCTGCTATGATCTCACGTTTGTACCCATTTAGGCAGCTGGGAGATGTGCTGGAGGTCTGACTAAACTAGTTTAATTGGTACAACAGCAGTGTCCCTCACAGGGTTTGGGCACTCCCCCCTTACACACACACACACACACCTTCGAGTCCTGAACACAGACCCCCGCCACTCCTCCACACTGCTGCCTGTCCAACTCCCACCCCCCACGGCCCCCTGACAGGAGCCGCCAGCGCTCGACCACAGTGGGACGTCCCGTTTCGAGGACGGTCGAGCGCAGCAGCAGGAAGGGTGCGGCTTCAGTCAGAACCGCTGGCTTGCCCCTGGCTCTGACAGGACACCACAGAGAGCCCAGGGCCGGCGGCGCGCCAGAGCCCTTCATTAACGGGAATCGCACAGCTTGAACCATTTTACTGCTCCCGCAAGTTTCCACTCACCGCGCCAGGCACAGTAATGAGAGGGGAACATTAGGAAAAGATTACAGACACGAGCAGGTCTGCTGATCCCATCTGGGCAGGCGCAGGCTGCCAGGAGCACGCTGATCCCAGAGCCCCCGGGGCCCTGCGGTCAGTGGCGTGAGATGCTCAGCTCAAACATGGGCTCAAAGGTCCTATTGTTTCCCGTCCATCCATCTTCTATCCCTCTGAGCCGATACCGGGTCGCAGGGGAGCCGGAACCTTTCTCGGTCAGCAATGGGCACGAGGCAGGATACACCTCGAAGTGGGACGCCACTTCATCGCGGGGCGCAGACAGACAAACTCTCGCACCGGGGCCAGTTGTCGAAGAAGCCAATTAACCTGCCAGCGTGTCTCTGGACTGGGGGAGGATACAGGAGCACCTGGAGGAAACCTCACGCCAGCGCAGGGAGAGCATGCAAACTCCACCCAGACAGCACCCCAGGTCCAGGACTCGAACCCAAGGCCCCAGGGCTGTGAGGCAGCAACGCTAACAGCTGAGCCACCTCCTACAGTTGCCCTATAAAACAACAAACTGACACGTCAGTGCCCACATATGCACAGGCACCCCCCCCCTTCGAAAACAACTCGGACCGCAGCTGTTTCACTAACAAGCATTCTCGCCGGTCTCTAGGTTTACAAGCACCGAGATCTGGCCCGCAGCGTTGGGCGGCAGCGTTACCGCCGTACAGCCTGATCTCCTTAAACGGCGGCCGCCTGGATCCGGGAGGGGAGACCCCCAAGGAAAAAAACAACCAAACGAGTGACAGTGGGCCTGTAGGTGGCGCTCTTCTGCCCGGGCCAGAATTTCAAAGCCAGCGGCAAAGCAGGGTGAGGCGGGAGGAGTGCACTTTCAGGTGAGAACATAAACCGAGGCGCTGACCAATTAGATATTAATTATCCAATTAATCCAAGGAGCAGAGGTGTTAACCCTGGTGTCCCCGGTGCATCAACAATCAGTTCTTGGAAAGGCAGCGTCTCTCTCCCCCCCCTGACCGGCTAGGTCACCCAGGGGTCCCCCTCCTGGTGTAAAGAGCTTCGAGGCCCTTGGGAATGCGGGGTGCCCCAGGTGCACTGCAGAGCCTCACTGAGCGGCTTTCTGGAAACCCCACTCTGGACAGCACGCATCACAGCGGAATCAAGGCTGACGGCATCGCTGACTATCCTCAGCTGCGGAGCGTTTGAATCCAGCTCAGGAGCCTGAGCCGTGGTCACGCGTCCTCCAGAACACAATGACCTTTGAAAAGCGACACAGGGAATCGAAAGCACATGGCGGGTAATTAACTCAAGACGTTTTATTTCATTCGCGCAGCTGCCAAGTGCTGCTAATGCAAAGTGCAAGCGTTCCTCCTAGAGGGGAAATCTGACTACAGGGTGTTAAGGCCAACCCTTCCTCTCCTGCCGCCACTAGCAACAGTCGGCCAAGGGCTGTCCACTGCTGGGAAAGGGGGAGAGGAGGAGAGAAAGGAGTGGGGGGAGGAAAAGAGAGGCAGAGATGGGGAGAAAGGCAGAGGAAGAGAGAGACAGAGGAGACAAGAGAGAGCCCCTATTTCTCTACATTCCGGAGGTCCTGCACAGCCTGTTTGAAGTCATCTCGGCACACGCTGCCTCAGAACTCCAAGGTCCCGGGTTCGATTCTGGCCTGAGTCTGCCTGCATCCCGGCATTTGTGTGGGGCCGTGCTCCGCGGTGCCGGCGCTGCCAGTCCACGCCCAGGGCCTGGTGTTACACACGCTTAAGGACATACCGGACATACCGGACACACATCGTGCCGCCGCCAGGCTCTGCAGGGGGGGCGCGGGCGGAAGAGCACGTGTGCACGTCTCCTCGCGCCCGCTGGCCCTGGACACACTGGGGACCCCCAGACACCGGCGCATCAGCTTCTACAGCTCTGGGAAAGCCACGAGCCGCCGCGCGTCAGTCTCAGAGAAAGTGCATCCGACAGGTTCTAGTTCCTGACTAAATGAAATTAGCAGGCGGTTACAGGGGCTGTAATTACAGCTCTGGTCTGGTCTGCTTCGGAGTTAGAAAGAGCTCTGCAGCAGTGTTAACATGGGCTGTGTGCGCGATAGGGTGACTCTGCTCACACATTTTCTGCAGCAGTGTTAACAACATGGGCTGTCTGCACAACAGGACTACTTTACTCATACATTTCCAGCTGACAACTGCAGCTATAGAGGACTTTACCTCTTCCACAGGCTATAAAATACTTTTAAAAAATACATAAGCTCAATACATGTATGTTGAATGCGATTTTCAATATTTAATGTTCATTCATCACTTCTCCAAACTGACAATTACTAGACTGGTTTGAAGAAAACAGCTTAGAAGAGACTGAATTGCTACTTAATAAGTTACAGAAATAAGCCATTTTTTCTATCTTCAGATGCAGCGCCGGAGGAACTCAGAGGGCTAGGGGTTGTGTGGAGCGCAGTGCTCTCCAGTGGCAGACTGTAGTACTGCACGTCGTGCCAAGTGTCAGGAGCACATTGAGCCGACACACTTCAAATTACATCTAGTGAGTTCATGACCATAATTATAATCTACAACTGAGTTACTAGGGACTCATTTTTCAAAGGTGACTGAGGGCTTTAGATGAGTGTAACTCTCAAATGAGACTGCTGCGCTGGTGTCAACTGTGTAAACAATTCTCCAGACCCTCTACTTCATATATTACACACAGGGCAAACGTATAATTTCCTTTCCTCGTGATTTTCAGGGCTTGTACTTCAGATTAGAGTGCTGAACACAAAGAAAACCAAGGACAAGGTCTCTTCAAGGCAGTGAAACCAGCAACTGAGAGAAGAATTACCACAAGGCGCATTTTAATCACCGTTGAAGGACAGAAGTCAGTAGACAATCTACATAAACAAAGAATTATTTGTATAATAAGAATAGTTGTAACTATAGCTACAGCTACCTCACAGGCTGACTAATAAAAAAAAGTAGATTAAAGGTGAGGAACTTTGTACAAACTGCAACACATTTATCTCTCCTCCCCATGCAATACTCCAACTCCTGCAGCTGGAAATATATGCATTTGCACAAGACGTGTCAGCAGCTGTTCTACACCTTAGAATAGGGTTAAGAGTAACAACAATGATTTGATGTTCTGCGGCATCCATATGTTACCAGCAGACAGACACCTACCTGTGGACCTGATTTGGTCCGCAAGGAAACGCGGCATCAGGAAAGCAGTGAAACTCTAGCCCATGAATTTTATTAATCCGGAACAACAGGCAATAATCAACAATAATCAACAGGAAAGGTTCCTGCGCCCAACCCAACAAAACACTCTTGAGTAAGTGGGAAAGTGGGTCAGCATCACATTTAAAACAAGCAAGAGCTGCCAATGGCCTCCCAGTAGCCCAGTAGGAACTTTAAGCAATATCTATAGGCAATGGAAGAGAGCACCAGCAATAAGTTCTAGATGCTAATGAAGAATGGATCCTGTGTGCGTGCACAGGAATTTCACAATCATAGTGAATCAGCACAGCAGTTTCTGTGTAGCAGTGTGGCAACAGCAGTGTCAGTCATAGTGAATCTGTGCACCGTACCTCAAGTAAAGTATAGCTGTTAAGTGCAGCAGTGCATCAGTGTGTCAAAGTCACGGTGTCTGTGCAGCAGTGTGTCAGTGTATCGCTGCGTTAGAGGAGCACTATCACAGCGTTGCAGAGGGAGAGTCCAGAACTCTGACCTTGCCCAGTGGGTGGGGTCCATCCACAGTACGGCCATCATCATCAGGACCCCAGCTGAGTCAGAGAGGAAGAGAGAGTGGAGGAAGGGGCCGTGAGACAGCTGCTTCACAATGGGGTGAGACATGTTACAGCCCAGTGGTTCAGTGCGATGCTGCGATACAGAGCAGTGAAACACTGACAGCATGTAATGCAGGGAGATGATTAAGAGAGCGAGAGGCAGTGTGACCGGCTGTTTACCTGCAGCTGTAGACATCGTTGATTTGATAGTGTTTGTTGAAAGCGATGGCTTCCATGCTGTCTGTGAGGGGGCCATCCAGGACCCGGATCCCTGAACATACAGACATGTTAACACACCGCACCCTGTGTCCACAGACTCACGCCAACACGCCAC